ATCACCCTTGGTAGAGTGCTGTGGCGTCACAGCTCACAGCAAACTCAGCCTCCTGGGCTCAAGTGATTCTCTTGCCTCAGCCTCCTAAGTACCTGGAACTATAGGCACCCACCACAACCCCTGCTATTTTTAGAGATGGGGTCTCGCTCTGGCTCAGATGATTTCAAAGCTGTAAGCTCTGGCAATCCACCCGCTTCAGCGTCTCAGAGTGCTAGGATTACAGGCGTGAGCCACCACACCTGGCCTTAGAATAGGGTGACCAGACGTCCCGATTTTTAACAATTTGTCCCGCGTCCCACGGTATTTTAAAAAAGTCCTGATTTTTGGAAAGAATGCACCAACGGGCGGGAGAACAGGAAGGGAATATACGGTTTTCAGCTGCCATGTGGCTATTTTGCCAGAATATGAGTTTTATATTATTTTTGTTAATTTTATAATGTTAAACTGTAATAGTAACAAATAATTGTTGATAAGTGATTATCGAGAACTGCTTATCAAAGTTTGCATTGTTGTCAGGCCCTGCCCTGCCCTGTCCCCTGCCCCGCCCCACCCCCTGGCCATGTTGTCCCACTTTACAAATGTTAAAATCTGGTCAGCCTACCTAATAAAAATAACTGACTTTTTCTTTTTATGGTTATGGGTCCTTTTGAGGACCAACTAAAGGTCCACTCCCCAGAAAAGAGGGACATGAATACTTGGGTATACATAACATTTCAGGGTCTTAAGTAAAGACCCTCCCAATCAGCTTACAGAGACTTGGCAACTTTCCTACGGATTCCTTGCCTGAAGCTCTAGCTTCCCTCATCTATCCGAGCACATCCCTTTGAGAGAAAAAGCAACAACATTCTCTCCCCATCCCCTAGGTCCCAGCACTGCTTTGGAAGGCATTGGTCTTTCAAGCCTTACCTAGAAGGCGTAGAGAACTCCTGCTGGAAAATGTCCTCCAATTTCTCTACTACCTCATCAGTGCTGAGGGGGATGAGGCTGCCATAAGTTTGAAGGAATTCATCTAAGATGCCTGAGTGGGGAGGGAGAAAGGAGTGGGGTGAGACCTCAAGACTTTGCTCTAGGAGTCAGCAAGGAGAAAGAGATTAGGTCCTCTAGTGCTCCTTACTCTGTACGCAGGTCACGTGCTCCTCTCGCAGGGGGCTATGCTGGCCAGCTTTCTCCCCAGATCGCTCTGCCTCTTCTGCAGTGCCCAAATCTGAGCCCTGAAAAAGCTCCTGGGCCACATGGTCCCCGATGCTGCATACATTACTTATGAGGATGCTGGCATCAGGGGGTGCCAGGCTGCGTTCCCCTTCTGCCATAGACGGTCCCCCAAAGCCATTGGGCAGAGTACATGAGAGGAGGCCTAGGGCAGGGAAAATAGAATGGGGATGAGAAATTGGCCCAGATAAAAGGACAATGAAACCCATAAAATTAATGATGAACGTAAATGGTAAGATCATTTGAGAAGGATAAATTGAAGCACAATCTACTAATATAAGAAATGGAGACCACAAAGCATAAGGACGTCCAGGAGATTCTAAAAGGACAGAGAAAAAGTTCCTAGGAAAGAAAGAAAAGATTTGTTTTCAGAGATGTAAATTTCAGTGGTATTTATCACCACTAAATACCAAATACCTAGCATAGCATCTGGCATATTGTATAAGCTCAACAATAAATACTTGAATATTTAATAAAGATACAGAAACACTGAAATTGCTTGGCTCTCCAAAAGGGAATTTTTTTTCTTTTTGAGACAGAGTCTCATTTTGTTGCCCTTGGTAGAGTGCTGTATGTCATAGCTCACAGAAACCTGTAACTCTAGGGCTTAAGTGATCCTCTTTCCTCAGCCTCCTGAGTAGCTAGGACTACAGGCACTCGCCACAATGCCTGACTATTTTTTTGTTGCAGTTACCATTGTTGTTTAGCAGGTCAGGGCCAGGTTTGAACCCGCCTGCCTTGGTGTATGTGGCTGGTGCCCTACCCCCTGAGCTAAGGGCACCACCCCAAAAAAGGAAGTATTTTGACTGAGAATGTCACACACAACTGTACAGATGATGTAATCCACTACTGAGAGAGGTTCCATCCTGTCACTGTGGAACGGCACACTCTGGAGATGTTCACACAGGGAATCTTATTTTGAGAGGCCGAAGAGGAATATCAAGTGGACAAGATTGCCTCATTTTTCTAAACTATGTCTCCTTTTCTCATTTGTGCTCAAAACCATAAGATACCTACTTAGGGATTCTGTTTCCAGCCCTGTCTCCCAAGATTACTTTCTGCTCAAAGTAGAGCTTTATTTTTGAGACAGAATCTCATTTTGTAGCCCTAGGTAGAGTGCCGTGGTGTCACAGCTCACAGCAACCTCCTACTCTTGGGCTTAAGTGAGTCTCTTGCCTCAGCCTCCCAAGTAGCTGGAACTACAGGTGCCCGCCACAATGCCCAGCTATTTTTTAGAGATGAGGTCTCGCTCTGGCTCAGGCTGGTTTCGAACTCCTGAGCTCAGGCAATCTGCTTGCCTCAGCCTCCCACAATGTCCCAGAAAACATTTCACAGCTATTTTGGACCCCTCACTCTGCTATCCTTCTTTTCTTAGGCCAAGTTTTCACCATAGCAAGAGGTTCCTGATGCTCCAGGGTCTTAGTCATCCCTATCCCCACCCTTTCCCCATCCCTTTCCCACCTTACCTGAGTCAGGGTCCAGAGGAGATTTTGGAGTCCACCTTAGTACATCTTCCTCCATAGGGGGCCCAGAGGGCACTGGTGGAGACCCTCTCACCCCATCCTCAGCCATGAGAGCACCTAGCAGACCCAGCCGGGGTGGAGGTGGTCCCCGGGGGGAGTCAAAACGACAGCAGGGGGATGGCACCTGTGGCGTTGCACCCCCTTCCTGGGGTGAAAGATGGTTCTTGGGGTGTGCAAGGCTCCGCCGTCGGCCCCGGTGGCGCCCCCAAAGCTTCCAGTGGAATGTCAGCGAGGTGCTTTTTGAGTACAGCAGCATCCGGAAGGCTCTCATAGCTCGGCGGCGGCGCTGTGAGCAGGTTTTTCGATGAGGGGGGCGAGGAGGGCGAGGCCGCTGGGACGGTCCCAACTGACCCCATCTGGGGGGCAGCCTCCAAGCAGCCACTTCCTCCTCCTCATCTTCATCTTCCTCCTCCTCTTCCTCTTCCTCCTCTTCACTAGCTGAGGCATCAAAAGAGGGTCGAGGGACAGGGAGGCGTCTGGCTGGCACTGTGGTCCCTGTCCCAGGATCTGGTCCAAACCCTCCACCTGACTTGAGTCGAGGTTTGGGGGGTGGGGGCCAACGAAGACGCTCCCGCCTGGGGCTGGCATACGCTGGAGCTATTCCATGTCCAGGAGGCTCAGGGCCCCAAGACCCAGTCCCTTGTATAGTCTCTTTCATCTTCCAGTACCCTGTAAAACAAAGATCAGGGTATCAGAATCCAAACATCCTGCCCTACAGATATTGCATCTCTTTCTCAGCATACCCCCTATGGATCCAGATGCAGATAAACTAAGAAAAGAGGAAAAATCATTAAAATGACAACTTCTGGGCGGCGACTGTGGCTCAAGGAGTAGGGCACCGGCCCTATATGCTGGAGGTGGTGGGTTCCAACCCAGCCCCAGACAAAAACTGCAAAAAAAAAAAAAAAAAAAATCATAACATGGCCCACAAAGGGCCCTTTAGGGTCTGTGCCATCATCTCTTCTTTGCCCAGGTAGAAGAAATAGAAAATGTCTGAGCAGCAAGCCTCAGGAACCTTATTTCTCAGTGTCCCAGATCAAACCCAGTAGTACCGTCAGGCTCTACTTCTGTATTTTAATATCACCAAGGTTGTCCTTTGAGGGACTAATAAGAACGATTTTTTTGCTCAGGGAGATGGATCAGCACAGGAATTCTATCATGGTACAGCACTCTACCTGAGAAGAACAGAACTTTCACAGGAAAACTGTGAGCTTGAGCAGGAAGACAGGTCTTCTCTGCCACCCTGGAATGAATGGGGGGTGTGAACATACTTAGGTTCTCTCAGGTGGGAATGGGGATTCAGGGGGTTGGGTCTGATAAAAAGGGAAAAATGTTGATGGAAACTCAAAGAGAATCGGTGCTGAAGCAGCTGAATCAAAGCGCTAGGACAGACCGGCCCAGCCCCCTCCTACTTCATTCCCGGGAACGGGAATGCGTTCCAGCACTGCTGTGGTCCTACAAGCTCGGACGACTTAGCGCACAAGGGCCTTAAGAAGCCCCTATAAGGGCCTCTTAGTCCCAGTTAGGTGGGAGCGGGGGCCCAGGAATGGAAGAGGCCACGGCAGGGCTAGGGGGAAGTGTGGGGGGGTCCTCACCGAGAGCAGGGAAGCCGGGCGGATGGGCCCGAGGGCGGGCGCCTCAGGCTTCCCGGCTCATCTTTCCGGCGACGGCGGCGGCGGCCCCGCCACTCCTGCTGTCTTCAGGCGCAGCCGTCTCAATTCAAGATTCCAACGCTTCTGGGCCGCGCGCGTGCCGCGCTGCCGAGCCGCCCCGCCGCAGCCGCTCTAGCTCTGCATCAGCCTCCACCTTTACCACCACCACCACCAACCACCGCTACTACTACCACCACCACCACCACCACCACCACTACCACCTCCTCCACCTCCTCCTCCTCCCCCTCCTCCTTCCCCTCCCGCGAGCCCCAGGCCCACCGGCGGTGGCGGCGCACGATTACTACGTCACACCCGGCGAAGAGCGCTGGCGCGGCCACTACGCGCCCTGTCCCGCCTACCCAGGAACGTAGACGCCACGGGGAGGTTCTGCCGGGAGCTCTTCGCAGGCCTGCGCCTGCGCATAGCTGCTAACCCGGTCGCGCGCAGCGGCCCAGTCAGTTGCCCTAGTGCGCCTGCGCCCCTCAGCGCACAGCCCTCTATCTGCGCTTCCTTGGTCTGTGGGGGCGCTCCAAAGTAGAACCAGGAGGGCAGGGAGATCTGGTACAGGAACAGGATTGAGACGAGACAGTGGGAAAAATAGAGCCGGAGTATCATTCATTAGCTTTTATTTAACTTTAAGCAGGGCTTGAACGGAAAGAACTATTCGGAGGAATGAGTCAGGACCAACACCGGGGCGTACGGTTCATCCAAGGGTCCCTGGAGGCTAGACCCAGCCCCAGGGAAATGGAGAGCATGCAAAGGCAAACCTTGGGACCCAAAGAGAAATGTGGCTGAAAATAGACCGCCGCCGGCGGCGGGGACCCTCCCCCACAAACATATACAAGCTGGCGCGTGATAAACCTCTGGAGATAGTGATGGAAACTGGAGCCCAATAGATGAAGAGAAGGAAGTAAGAACCAGGCTTCTTATAGGGTAAAGAGGCAGAGGGTACCTGGAGAGAGCTGTGGCTTGGGAAACCAGGGGTTTTCCCTAGCCGAGGGCGGATTCGCGCACTTCTGCCAGTAGCCAGGATGATTCCCTCAAACTGCCGCTAGGTGGTGGTGCTGCTCTGGATGAAGTCCAGGGCCCTGCCCCAGTCCTGGGCAAGCCCTGGCACCCGCCCGCCTTCCATCAGCACATTAACAAGAATTTGGGGCAGGATGGGGGACAGAAGCAAGATATCCATGAAATCAAAGTTCCGGGGGTTGGAAGTGGAAAAAGAAAAGGGAGGAACGGAGAGTCATGAAGTCAAACCCTGGAAGAGGCCTCTGTTCCTGCCCCATTCCCTATCCTTTGTCTAATCAGCTCTTGACCGGCCACAATATGTACCCACCCTGGTCTTCGAAGCTCACAACCACGTTTTATAACACAATCACAGTTTCACAAACCCCAGGAATGTTCCATGTGGAGAGAGGCTAAGTTTTGCTCTTGCCCGGGGAATTATGACACTCAGAATATCCCCTTGGTGTAAATGGAAGACACCTGAGAAAAGGGAGAAAATAGATCCCAGTGAAGCACAGCCATCCAGATACTCTGATGTTTCACCCTGCCTTCTCCGGCTCCCCTTTTCTCTGCCTCCTGTAAGGACGACCCAGGTATTCTATGCTTCATTCCCCAGATCTGCCTGTATACCCAGAGTCTAACTCACTACCATGGCTCCCAGCACTCCTACCCCCAGGTCAGATGTCCTCTCCTCAGGTCTGCCCTGCACTACTCACACAGCTCTCACCTGCGCTATAGCAGCTGTTGTAGGCCCGATCTGGGTTAGAGGGCATACTTCGTACACATCTCAGTAGAGTCTCCCGCTGTCCAGGGCCTTCCCGAGAGACCACCTGACCCATGGTGAAAGTCACGTCATGAAACAAAACCTGGCAGGGAAGGGAGGGAGATGTTGAAGAAAACAGAATGGCATAGCTTAGTTCTGGAAGGTCTCCATCCCTGACAAACAATTCAGAGAACTAAGGAGGGTCTTAGAGCATTTAGGAACCCTTAGTAGTAGGGCACATAGGCTCTGAGGAAACAGCAGTCAGCCTCTGTGACCCCAGAGGAGGCTCAGGCTGTTTCTGGGGTTACCTGGCTATACAGCAGATAAACTCCAGCATCCCAGACTCGGACAATGTATCCTTTAGCCTCCAGGCCTCTCCCACGCTTAAGAGCTGGTTGCCACATCACCTCGGTCACGTCAGAGTCCTCTGGAGGTGAGGGATGTGGCAGTCAGGATTTCTTTTTTCTTTTTCTTTTTTTTTTCAGACAGAGTTTCACTTTGTTGCCCTCTGTTGAGTGCCATGGTGTCTTAGCTTATAGCAACCTCAAACTCCTGGGCTCAAGTGATTCTCTTTTTTTTATTTTTTTATTTTTGAGACAGAGCCTCAAGCTATCCCCCTGGGTAGAGTGCCGTAGCATCACAGCTCACAGCAACCTCCAACTCCTGGGCTCAAGCGAGTCTCCTGCCTCAGCCTCCAAAGTAGCTGGGACCACAGGCACCCACCACAATGCCTGGCTATATATATATATATATATATATATATATTTTTTTTTTTTTTTTTGGTTGCAGCCGTCATTGTTGTTTTGGCGGACCTGGGCTGGATTCAAACCCGCCGCCTTAGGTGTATGTGGCTGGCGCCTTAGCCACTTGAGCCACAGGCGCCAAGCCAAGTGATTCTCTTGTCTTAGCCTCCTGAGTAGCTGGGACTACAGGCTCCTGCCACAACACCTGGCTAATTTTTTTCTTTTTAGAAATGGGGTCTTGCTCTTGTTCAGGCTGGTTTTGAACTTATGAGCTCAAGCAATCCACTTGCCTTGGCCTGCCAGAGTTCTAGGATTATAGGCATGAGTCACTGTGCCCCTCCAGCAGTCAGGATTTCTTTATGTTCGCAGATGCTTATCTGCTCACCCCTTTTCACCTATAAGATTCTCTTGGGCCCAGGTGCCAGCCCCAAAGTTCCTAGTTCTTGCCCCTCCCACAAAGCCATTATTTAAAATAGTGCCTACCCTTGGAGGTGATGTTAATGGGTGCAAGGTGCAGAACTGAGCGCTTCTCTGAGGAGAGAAGGAGGGAATCTCAGTAGCGTCCACCTACCCCAGTTGCCCTGTTGTCAGCCTCCACCCTCACCCTATCTTGGGATGACAGTCCTCATGCTGTTTGATCACCTCCCACCCCTGCTGCACCCTGGAGTCCTCACTCTTCTGTTTCTGGGTGAGCACAGCTCTCTTTCTTCGGGATCTCTCCCCATTCTCCCAGGCTTCCAGGGCATAAGGGCTCTGCTCATGGAAAGAGGGTTAGGGTTATACTAAGATGCAAGGGTCCTTGACAGCCTTCCTTCCCAGCCCTCCCCTGCCCCAGGAATGCTTCATATCTTTCATGGCCTTTCCCCAGCACCCTGAGTCTGGATGCTGGCTGCCCTCCAGGATCTATTAGGTACAAGAAGCATTAACCTTTAACAGTTTTTCCTGGAATGGCCGCTCCCTTGACTTCTAAATCCAAGACCCTCTTTTGCACCTCCTCAAAACTTTACAGACCAGGAGCCCAAAGACCCCCACCTGCCACCCATCCTTCTGTCCCGGACACCCTTCCCGTGGCTCACCTGCTTCTGGAGGCTCTGCCAGAAATACCCTTCTCCCTTCTGGGAGGGACCTCCACTCCTCTGCAGCCGGCTCACCTCTCTCCTTAGGCTTTGCAGCTCTGTTTGCTGGGTCAGCAGAGCTATGGCACAAGCCACAGCTCCCAGAGCTGCCCCCCAACTCAACCAGAGGGCAACTGAAAGTGCCGGCTCTCGGACTGGGGCCCCCATGTCGCCTGATGGCTCTTTGGGGGCTAGCAAGAAAGGAGATGAGGCTGGCATGAGCTGGGGACCCTGCCAACAGCTGTGGCCCCAGGAGTGGGATGGCAAGGAGATGGTGGGGAGGGGAGGGGTAAGGACAGTGGTGCAGAAGGGAAGAAGGGTGTTACGCAAGGAAGAAATAAAAAGGAACTTGAGAATAAAAAGGAGGGAGAAAGAAAGCAAACTAGGGGTACTATCAGTGCTCCTGGCACTCTGTTGTGGAGCCAGTGTCACCTTGTGACCCCCTTGTCCTCCCCCAGCTTCAGGAGAATTAGGTGCCAGTCCCTCGAGGAAGGACAGGATTGTCAGTGACACCCAGGAGGAGCGGCCAGTGCGCAGGAACCCTGGGGCAGCCCCGGAGTTGGGGGAGGGAAGGTTGGCTGGCTATGGGGCATGGTGCCAGAAGTAGGATGGGGGGCCAGGCCGGGCAGTGTCCTGGTTGGGGGTGAGGGTGAGCCCTCTGGCTTAGGCACAGGAGGGCTCTGGGGCAGTTTGCTAGAGGTTACCGAAGGTGGGAAAGGAGGGTCGGGGTCGATTGGGAGGAGAACCATGGGCACGGAAGCAAGAAGCTGGCTGAGTTCTGGGGTGAAGGCTGGGCCGGGTGTGTTGGAATAAGGCCTGCACTACTCCCTGTGCTGAACTTGGCAAGCAGGACTTCCTGTTTCCCAAGAAAAGCTCTTACATAAGGCTCTGGACGAAGGGACAAAGAGGTAGCCCCAGGCCCCCTAGCCACTGCAGGATTTCTCCTGGTGCCCAGGGCCCAGGCTTCCGGGGGTCTTCTGACTTTGAGCCCCTCCAGGCTTGTCCCCATCCCACCCCTTCTTAACCAGGGCCTGTGCCAGCACCTGCTGAATGTCCCAAGGCCACTAAGAGGAAGGGCCCCTGCCCCTCCCAGCCAGGGATTCCCCCGGCAGGAGGAAGTCTGCCTACTAGGGAAATGAGGCTGCTTCAGGCTGTACCTTGGGCACAGGATTGATTTTTCTCCTGACTGGTGTACTTTTCTACTCCCTGCTCACCAGTGGGGGTTAGAGGCTTATAGGTTGCACTCTCAAGCCTGAGCATCACCCTGGAATTCCAACTGTCCTGCACCCAACTCCTCAATGCCCAGACCCTCTTCCCACGGCTCTTGGCTACCCTGGAATGTCCTCTGAAGCCCAATAAAGAGAGAGACTATGATTTATTCTTTTTAATATTCACTTATCAACATTTTATCACAATAATAATAAAAATAATATCTGTTTTAAAAATCCACAGGGAATTCTCAAGGGAGGAGCTTGTCTTTGTTTCTCACACCTCACTTCAGGAATTCCTCGCCTAGGCCCAGTCTCTTCTGCTACCTGCCACAAGGTCCAGCTCCAGTTAGTATCTGAAGCAGGGTCTTCTGGACCCATCCTTGCCCATGGAGTACAGTAAACACAGTGTACGGGGCAGGGCTGTGGCCAGGGGGAGTCAGGGGACAAATGAAGGTCTTGAAAGATCAGAAGTTTGGGAGGTAGTGAGGTGAGAGTGGGAGGTGGGGGTGCCATAAGGGAAGAATGGGGATGCCGTATTTATGTGGGCTGGGAAACATGAACAGCCCTGATAGCCAACAGAGACAGGGGTAGGCCTAGAGCAAGGAACAAATGAGGGTGGGGCAAAGGGAACCAGGGTGCTCTAAGAGCTGTCATGGGGAGCCAGTAGCCTGGGGAATCTTCAGGGAGACCAGGGCCCCTCAGTGAACTTGGAAGAGTCCAAAGTAGGTGAGGAAGGGGGCAGCCTTGAGATGGGTCCAGGGGAGGGTGCGAATCCGTAGGGAGGACCCTGTTCGCAGGGGCAATAGCCCAGACACCTGGCAGAGGCGAAGCTGGGGCCCTGGAGAACTTGCTGCTGTGGCTGAGAACTCCTCCAGGCAGCGCAGGGCCAGAATGTCATCCACCAGCAAGTCCAGCTTCAGGTAGACAGCCTTCCCCTCATCAAAGTGCACCTGCAGTGGAAGAGGGTAGGTAGCGTCCAGGCTTCTGCTTGTACTTGGCCTCAATTTCAAATTTATTTGGAGATGTAGGTATCCCATCCCACCCAAACCCCAAACTCCTTCCCAGTCTTTCACCTGTCCCCTTGTCTCCCCCTAAACAAACCCTTCTTTAGTTTTTGCTTTACCTATGGAGCCAGGTGGGGCTTACCTGGCAGTATAGGTAGTAGAGTCCAGCCCGGGTGACTATGAATTCCCCAACATGGCGGTTATAGCGCAGAGGGTTGGAACTGTTGATTTTGGTTTCCTCCCAGCCACTCACTGTCCCATCCACACCTGAACATAGATGTTCAGAGATAAGGAAAAATCCGTTTCCAGGAATCCCCCATGCTCCTCAGGGATCCACTGAGGGTATTAACATTTGGGGCCCACCTTACCCAGAAGATACATAGATCACCTAGGGCAACAAAGAAGTCATGCCCTCTGACCAGCAAGAGTCAGCGCAAACTGTAACCGGTGCTTGCTTCTGGGGAGAAGACTAGGATAGAAGGAGACATGTGGGGCTTTTATATATTACTTCATCTGTGTTTACAGTGTTTCTTTTTCTTTTTTCTGTTTCTTTTTTTTCCTTTTTGAGAAAGGGTCTTGTTCTGTTGTCCAGGCTGAAGTGCAGTGGCTTCTGCTTGTCATAGCTTACTGTAACCCCAGACTCCTGGGCTCAGGTGGTCCTGAGCCTCAAGTGGTCTGGCATTCAGCCTCCTGAGTAACTGGGACTATAGGCATGCACCACCATGCCCAGATCTTTTTTCTATTTTTTTGCAGAAATAAAGTTTTTCTACGTAGCTCAGACTGGTCTCAAACTCCTGGCCTCAAGCAATCCTACCCTAGCCTACTAAAGTGCCAGGATTACAAGAATGAGCCACTATATCCAGACTGTTTGATTCTTTTATTTTGAAAATGCATACATACGGGTGGTGCCTGTGGCTCAGTGAGTAGTAGGGCCTCATATACCAAGGGTGGCGGGTTCAAACCTGGCCCTGGCCAAATTGCAACAAAAAAATAGCCAGGCATTGTGGCGAGTGCCTGTGGTCCCAGCTACTTGGGAGGCTGAGACAAGACAATCGCCTAAGCCTAAAAGCTGGAGGTTGCTGTGAGCTGTGAAGCTACGGCACTCAAAGGGCGACAAAGTCTCTGTCTCTAAAAAAGAAAAAAAGTAAGCCTCTGTCTCTAAAAAAGAAAATGTATACATATATAATTTAAATTATTATTATTATTATTTTTTTTTTTTT